CACCTTGCATGGGGCAAGCAAAGATGACTCCAGAGTTGAGCGAAGTTAGTTGTAGCATTTAAAGGTGGAGGGGGTGCGGGGTTGTGACAAAACCCTTTCCCTGACGTCTCCTTCTTCCTTCCTCTTCTCAGCTTCTGGAGATAGGTTTATACGGCGAGTTTGCACTTTCATTAAACGATAGGAAGAAAGTGGAATGAAGTGCTACAATATTTCATGAAATGGGGGGGGGGGAGTTCTGTTGTTTTCCTTTATTTACTTATTTAATATTTTTATTTTGCTGAGGTCCTAAAATCAATAGTGTTGATGCGGGTGGGGGTCGGGACCTGCTCGCCGGCCTCCACTACGGGCTCCTTGGAGCCGGGGTACCCCGGGGAGCCCTCGGCAGAGGTCGAGACTGGCTTCGGGCTTCCCAGCAGCTGTGACAGCGACCCGTAAGATGGCTGCTGCCATCCCCGCTGCTTTAAGACGGACTGTTTAAGGTGGAGGAGCCGCTGCCCTTGGCGGTTGCTGCCCCAAGCTTGACAGCAAATCAAACGTGATAAAAAAAAAAAAATCCAGTTTCTCTGAAATTTAAGAATTATCCTTGTAATTTTTTTAAGTGTCCGAATCATGTTTTAAAAGAACAAATAGCCGCTGTATGGTAGCAGCTACCTAAGAAGTTCTTTGCATTTTTTTTATGCCGTTCAGGTTTCTACTTTCGGAGTTGAAAATGAAACTGTTCTGCTTAGTTTCACTTTCAGCTTTCCCACGACTCCTCCTCGGCAGCAAATGTTATGAGCAAAGGGCGCATCTATAACAACACTCTGGCTCCGATGGACCACTTAATACCCACGCCTGAACATACGCTCCTGGTTTTTCTGAGAGTTGCTGTAGCCTTTAAATCCTCTCTGACGTTTTTTGTTTGTTATTATCAGCTTCTCCTTTAACCAGTTAATTAATGATATTTAACCCAGCATTAAGTTTGCACACTTGCATATAATAAATTATAAATGTTGATGCTGAAAATACCTTTACTGTTTTCACACAGGTGAGTAACTCCACTGATGTTCATTAAGGCAGCTTGCAGGCATTCATGTCTGAAGGTACACAGGTGAATAACCTTATTCTTTCACCTCATTCATTCTTCAGGGTCCTTAAAAGCCTGAAAACTTATTGCTTCCGTTAAAGTAGAATTAAATATGAAAGTTGTTAGGAAGCAGATACTGACTTTGGTTTAAATGCCTGAATGTTTCTTTACATTTTATGGTGTGTTTATGAGGGTTTAATGGGAAAAACACTGCTGTAACGCACACAGTAAGGCACTGGTTGGTATAAAGGCAAAAAAATACTTTTTCTGCAGTTCCTTCTTGAATCCTCCAGAGCATGGCTGTGTCTCTTTTTTTTCCATTATACCTTGTTGCTCACCAGATAACCAGAACAGTAAGTCTACCAGTCTGTGACTACACATACAGTTACTATAGTAACATTTATAAACACTAATGTCACTACACATGCAGAACTGCTGCCTGCTAGGAGCAGCTTAGAAAGAAATCACTCTTTAGCTGCATATAGGTAAATATTTTTCTTTTTTTTTTTAACTTTAAACTTAATTTAAATCATTGCTCACATTCTAACTTTGTGCAAATATATTTTTAAAACCAAAAAGAAAAAAAGCTTGACTTTGTCTTAAACTGCTCCAGTGAAAGGTAAAATGTTGCATTCACAATTTTGGCAAGAATAAGGAGTGAAAAGACCATTTGCTGTCTGGAAATGTGGGACTATAACTTGGGTTATGTTGACTTGTGGTGGCTCCAGTGAATGCAATTAGGTCACAACAGGTTGCACTACAGTAGGAAAAAAACCAAAACAACAAACAAACAAGCCTATGCTTTGATATATGAGTGGACACATGTCATTGTTGCTTGCATATCCAAGCTGGCTTTTTCTGTTGGCTGAATTCACAAGCAGAGCACATACTAATTTTCTAATTATAATACGTGCATAAATCTGAGCACCACACAATTCCTTTGTTGCTTGCTTTTTATCATTTAACATGCACTATGAAGATATTAAATTAGATTAAAACTCAGAGCATTGTCTGAAAAGCCCTTGCCATCCTTTTCACTTTTTGTCCTTTGGGGCGTATCAGTGGGTTTGCACAAGTTGAGCTGACTCTGAAACCCGCATTAGGAAGTCCTGGTGGGAGCGCGTGATCCTGGCTGCCTTTGGCCTGCCTGTGTTGCTCAGCCCGCAAACTCAGGTGAGTAGTCAGGTGACATCAGGAAGACAACTCATCTACATCAAATTAAGTAAACCAGGAGCTGGGTGAGACACAAGTCCCAGCTCTTGTGGGTTTCAGGTCTCTCTCAGGTTGCTGATAGCCCCGAGGAGGTGCTTGCTCAGAGCCCTTGCTCCCAGCAGATCACAGGTGCATCTCAGGTTTGTTGCTCCCGCACAAATTCCCTGTGAACACCTGACAGGCTTAAATGCAAGAGTATGTGTGTTATTATTATTCCATCAAAGGTTGCATTCTTGAGTCACAAAAGAGAAATTAAAATGCTGTTTAGGGTGTACCAGACTCCTGGTTATTACCTAGTTGTCATTTAGGGCTTTTGGGGGCCTATCTTGCTCATATAAATAAAAAAAATTACTCAACTAATAGCAGCCTAATGCTGAATGCTACCTCTCTGACAGGGACCACCCAGCCTGCAGCCGAGCTCTGGGAGCCCACCTCTACCCCTCATCCCTGCCTCTCAGCCTGGTCAGATCCAGTGTGCCCAACCCAGCCTTGTCTCCCTTTTTATTCAAGATGGGTCTCTCTTCCAGTGCTCCCACCTGTTTTTACTCTTGCCATTCAATGCAAAGTGCATCTCTTTCTCCTCCAGGGAATTTCTACGAGAATAAAATCCTATTGTGTCCTTTCATTAGCGCATTCCTTATGGGTGAAGTGACCTCCCTCTTGGCCACCACGCGTTCAGGACTGCTATCAATATCTTATGAATCACTGGTAGTATTAACAGTGCAAACGTTTTGTTCATTATGCTGTCTCTAGCACCTCATCTGCTTCCCATGGCGCTAACATGTGACTTTAATAATGCAGATGGCAGACCTTCCCATTAGGCTTTTGTCTGTCATAGGAAACTTCACACCCCAATTACCCAGTTTTTAAAGGAAAAAAAGAGGGAAAATAAATGGAAAAAATGTCATTGCAACACTCAGGGCTGTTTCAGTCACACAAACTTCTTGTTAGTAATGGAGCATTTAGCAGTTTTTATATGCTTCTTACACAGAAGATGCTCTTCTTGACTGCAGTCAGAGTTTCGGTTTAGCACAAACCAGGTGAGAAAACCGAAGGCTGGAATCACGCAGCACAGGACAGTCACTTGTGCCTTTGCTCGATGTGAATTGTGCGTGTCAAGTTCAGAAGCTGTTTGTTAAAGTTATTTAGCTATCAGCAGTTACTACATAGGCTGACACTGTTATTTCATGGTACTGAGAGCTCTGGATTGCTTCATACAAACATGGGATATACTATCTATTTTTTCCTTACCTTCTCTTTCCTCTGACTCCCCACAATTCTTTTGTCGATTCCTTTCTCTAACATATTTTTCTGTTCTTCCTTCTTCTTTATTTGTGTTAGAGATCTCCACAATTCTCTGGGACCCCACTTGGTATACGTTGACTGCCTGTGCTCTGACAGTTTTGCAAACCACCCCATTCCTATGTAGGGCAGGTCATTTGCTGCTGGAAGCCTGACCAACCACCAGGAGACTGGCACAGGCTCTGCTGGCAGAGGTGAGAGGGAAGGGACCTCCTTTTTGCTACCTGCACCCGAGTAGCTGCCAGCCAGCACCCTTAATATGATACCAATTTAGATAACAAAACTCTGCATAGAAAATTCCTATTATTTCTATTAGATGAAGTTACAGTGGCCTAAGAACATCTAACTGTGCAAACCCAGTCATGGGCCTTCCCCATATCAGTGTGCAAGGGCACTGGAAACCCTAGGAACTGGGAACACAACCTCAAGCTCCACAGCTTGGCCAAGCAGAAGAAATTAAAGAGGTTAAAAATCTCCATTTAGATCAACTGTAATAGTGCTATGTACAGCTGAAAAAAATAGAGGAACCCCAGGAATACGGCAGCAACCCCAGATGTGGGTTTGTAAGGTGAGGGAGACAGGATGTCACTGGGAATGCAGAAGGCACAGTTACATTGTCTTCACCCATGTTCCACTTTCTGCCACAGCTTTCTCTTTGAGTATCTCCAAAACCTCATGTACCTCCCCTCCCATGGCAAGGCCAGCAGGCTTGTCGTCCCCACTCAATGCTTCACTGCCTCTCTGCCTAACACAGGCACTTGGTGGGCTGCAAACTATTACCTTTGCCCCACCAAGACTAACCCATCTACAAGGAAGAGCTCCTAAATATCTGGAGTGTAAACAGAACTAGGTTTGCAATTGTTTTGCTACTCCCATTTCCCAGTCTGATGCTTCCTCCCAGCTGAGAAGCTGCATCTCTGCCCAAGTGGACAGCGTCACAAATTATAACTCTTGTCCAAGAAGACCTAATGATGGGGACTCTTATTTTATAGGATGACACAAAACCAGTGGGCCTGGAATCCCAAGATTATAGTTTTGGACAACACTTAGGAAGATAAATAAGGAGACTAATTATCTTAATTTATTCCATAATTATTTTAATTATTAATCACTTCCTTCTTTCTTGCCTATCATCAGGTCTAGAGGCAGGACTGTTCCCAAGTCCTGAATGCAGGCTCTGCCCGTGGCATGCTCCCGTGACTCACCAGGATAGTCTTTATCTCTTCCCACACCTTTCATAACTAGATTTTCTTGAAACTGCATTGTTGCTTCTGGGGATGCAGTAAGTAGGCTATACTATGCATATCTAAGTTGACTCACTTGGGAGAAGATGTCTTGTTCCTTCTGCACCATTCCCTCTGCAGATGGTTTTAGAGAACAAGAGGGCCAGGTCTTCTAAAAGTAGTGAAAGGTATAGGGCATGGCTGCTGAGTTAGCAAGTGAGTTCATCTTTTCAGGTGAAGAGTTTTTCAGAGGTCTTATATGAGTTTAAGAAAGGCTACATAAGGGTTTTCACATAAGATATTTGCTCTTTGCTGCTTCGGCCAAAGGTATCCACATAAAGCTGGGACCTGCTAAGGCAGTACCTGCAAAGCAGAGGCTGGCTCTTACTGAGCCACTGGGCATGCACTGCACAGCACAGCCAAGCTGCACCAGGCAAATGCTACCGCCTTACACGGTGACTCCTTGGCAGGTGCTGATGGTGTCAGGCATGCTGCAGCTCAGAGACAGACAGTCCTGGCAACGCTAGGAGTCCCCATCATGGTTTCTGTAAGTGGGTGTGATGCTTTTGCAAGCAGTTTTCCGGGGAGGTGCCATTCCCAAATTGTGTGTCAGGGCAGAGGGAAGGGAGGTCAGTAAGAGGAGAGGAATTGGGCTGAACATCTTGGAGGCAATGAACCCATATCCTGGCATCACAGGCACATGGGGAAAACAGGACTGAAAAGGAAGCGCTGGCTGAGGCATGAGCAAGAAGTAAAGCAGGGAAGAAGGAAAAGACAGGCAAAGAAGCTGATGCTCTTTCAGCAGGGATTTGCAGCAGCGAGGCCTGTTTATACGTACTAGTTGATAATACTGTGATTAGAAACTTGGGAGACTGTGACCTTCATTTATATCACACAGCCCTTCTCTGCCTCTTCCTGTCACCCACAGGCAGGCTGACAGGCAGGCATCTTTCCAGTGCTGGTTTCAGCATCAGTAACAGGCACCATTTTCTAAGACCACAAATATGTAGCAAATAATAAAACCCACAAAACTCACAGAGGAAGGAGTTCACAACTAGAGATTGGGCAAGTTAAGTTCTGATGGTGCCAAAGGTAAGTGAGGAAGAAGCACTCTGTGGGTGGAGATAGGAATGATGTGTTAGAGAGAGATAACTGCATATGGGACTCTTCTGTTTGGATACAAATCAGATCCTGGATCCTCAAAGCTCAGGGACATATTCCATCTTCACTAATTAAAAAATGAGATTGTAGTGCCAAACTGCAGAAGCAGAAAATAATCTTGCCTTACCATATTAACAGCAAGCAGCTCCAAGTGTCGTAGTTAGAAAGGTTTTCCAGAAATATGAGGTTTACTGGGACAACGGTATCCTCTGCCATGTAAGCCTCGTGCTCTGCTTCCATTCTGCCCCTGTTATAGACAGGCCAACGTATGACAGAGGTGGAGCAGCCTTCCTTTCCGAGTAGCAGGATTAAGCACTGACCAAGAGGCTCTTTGTTACGACACAAAGAGTAAATACAATTTTTTGCCCTTGAAAATATGTACAGTCTCAAACTGTGGTTTGCTCCCCATTCTTCTACATCTAATTTCTTTTTATCTGCTTCTATTTTCACCTCAGAACATTAAACTGTGTTGGATTTTGGCTCCCTAAATAGGCACAGGGAAACTGCAGTGAGCTAGAAAGCTGAATTTTATCTTTCACTCTGAGGCTAGAATGCTTAGCTTCGTGTATTGTGCTTTCAATAACTCACTGTTATCCTTTAACCTGACAGCAAAAAACCTCTGAGTCTGTATCTGTTCCTAATGAGGGAAATGCAAGGAGAGAAGGAAACACGGACTAATCTTCTTACTTCATAAGAGATCAACAAAGGAAATGTTTCATTTTTTATTCTATTTTTACAAGGTTTTCAGCTATTAACATAAGCAATTTATGCATAGTATAAAAAAGTATCGGGGTTGCCCTTTTAATAATTATAAGCAGATTTATTACAACTGAAGACTTGTAGCATATCTTGTTACATGAATTATTATGTATATTATCCTGGTTATTTACACATTGTAATTAACTGAGACTGTTTTGAGGCTTTGAAATTTGTGATTTGTTAGCACTTACACCATTTACGGAGATACAAACATCTATAAAATGTGTGGGAGTGTTAAGAATTAAATTTACTAAGGTCAAACTATCATTTTGCTCTCTCTAATCCAAGGGGGTTTTATATACGCTAAATGTAAAATGGAATCACATTTAAAAGACAAAAAAACATCTTACCAGACTTTCTATATATATTAGTCCTAATTTTTCTCAGGCCTGAATGGATCATCATAATGACAGCAGTGAAAAGGCTTTTGCTGCCTCCCAGTCTCAAATTCAAACTATGCAGAATAAAGGAAAAAGAGTTCTGCAGAAGCCTATCTTCTGCTGCTGTTTTAACCATGTCCCTCCTTAACTTGTCCTGCTGAAACGGTGCAGCACTTTTAAAGGAGGTGATGCTCACCTCTTGTTGAGAGATGGACTTTCCCATAAAGTTGTCCTACAGCAGACTGAGAGCCATAGCCACCAGCAAGCCACCTCTGCAATGATAAAGTATACTGCAGTCATGAGGGGCTTTTAAGTGGCTCTGCTAATACTGTTCACCCTCTACAGAAGAGATTTTCCTTTTAAAATGTTATAATTGATCTACCTCCGCTGATCAGAGGCACTTGATTCTTTAAGATGTTGGAGGAGGTTGGGGCTTTGACTACCATGAAATTTTATCAAACGTCATCACAGGAAAGAGTGCACATGTTGAAACACAAACTGCAGAAATGCTTACAATACCCAGGCACTGAACAGAATTAGTGAGACAGAGGAAAATGTACTTCCTAGCTGAAATCCTGGAAGAGACAATAGCTGCAAAATAGTTATTCAGGTGTGGCTGTATCAAGTGCAAAGAGAGAACCCCGGTAAATGGATGAGGTTAAAGTAGGATGAAATTACTAAAGGCTGCTCTTGTAACATGGCTGCGACAAATTTCTGCTGCTAAACTACTGTTATTTACCCTGCCAATGGATTAACAGCAGTTAACAAAGATTAACTGAAACAAAAATCTCAGATGAGAGAAACCTATGAATTTTTGTCTGATATTTCTCATATATACACACATAAATACTTAATCCTAAAAAATGAACTTAATCAACTTGAATGTAAACACTATGTTTTCATACTTAGTAGATAGATGATATATAGGCTGGCAAGCTGAGCTGCTCACATGGTGTCAGGACTTTGTGTTGTTATGGTGTCTGTACATGTATGTGACATGCTGATTTAGAGTGAGAGCATATAATGCAAGAAGCAGCTCATATTAGAATTTTCCAAGCCTGAAGCAGAATAATTTGAAAAAATCCTAGATAATATGGTTCAGCTGTTTCTGAGAATATGATTTGGAAAATATGTTGTTCTGCGTGTATGAAACCAAAATCTTGATTATTTTCTAGAGAATGTCCAAGATCATCAGGTTTTAAACCACAGATTGGCAATTTGGCTGAAATGGCATCAGCAGTGCATCTTTTGTCACTCTTATCAATTTACCCAAATCAGAACAAGTTAAAATATTTAAAAAGCAGCATCAGTTTGCCCATGCCAAGTAGAGACATGCCAGTGTGCAGGTGCTGAATTTGGGCAGTCCCCTCTGCACCAGTTGGCCTCTATCAGGAAGCACCTCACTAGGAGTTACTCTTATAGCTCTGACTCCTGGGGTTGCAGCACCACATGCCAGACCTAGGAATAATGAGACAGCATCAAAGATGTAGAGTGAGGTGAAGGAGACTGAGCTGATGAGGAAGATTGGAGCAAGGAACTTAAATTTAAAAAACAGAGGTGCATAGGGATAGGAAGAATGTACGAGCTTCAGCTGGAGAATGGGCAGACAGGCTTGTGCTGATTAGACCCTATGAAGTCCCTGCAGTACCTAAATTCTAGATTCCTAAATTTTCTGACACAGATAAGCAGAAGATTATTCATTTGAATTCCACTCCCACTTAATATTGTGATCTTGCTAATAACAACAATCCTGGTCCTTTTAAGAAAGTAAATAATTCTTTAATAAAAGCTTTACCAATTTGCAAAGATAAAAATCCCACGTGGCAAGGAGACACAAAGATAGGTTTATTGCACCAGACAACTATGGAAATAGGTCAGATACATGTTTTCTGGAAATTCTTGATGGCTGTCACAGTGTGACAGCTGCAGAAACAGTTGTAGCAGAGCTTCCACTTTTATTTGTTGATCAGCTTTCTCAAATAGGTTCCTCCTACAAAAATAAGAAGGACAAAGTGCAGATTGTAGGGGTTTTTTTCCACAGTAATTAAGGCAGATTACAAGGAAAAAGAGGAGATATTCTCTGACAAGCCAGGCAATGAGGAGACCAAGATGATGACCAGTCCTTACAAATGGATTCACAAAGTGAATCCAAGTCCTTTAGGAGAATGCAGAGATTTTTACAACTGGGAAGAAATCAGGTTTCCAAAGCTCACTGGAGTGGCTGTTCAGTGGTTACCTGTTTGGTGGAAAGCATTCCCAGCAAAGAGACAGATGGCACTGAGGTAGAAGAAAGAAAACATTGTGAAAATAACACACATAGTCCATTAGGCAGAAGGGCCAAAGGTGTTCCTGGACCACTGTACTTTGCTATTTATAGGTATGTACATAACACACCAGAATTTTTTTTCCCTTCATGCAACAAAAGAAAGTATTAGCTAACCTAGATGTTTGTTGGCAGTCAGTGTCTGGAGATAAAAAGCAGCAATTCCTTTAGCTTGACAATGTAAAGCAGATGTGATAAACTCCCTTGCAACTGATACTGCTATCAGACAATAGTATACAGCTTATTAGATAAGTTGCCTAAGCATGATATTTGAATTAAGGCAGCAAAATCAATTTACTAATGTAAAAGTTAGGAAGCATTCCACAATACACAAGTGACTTCTGTAAGAAAATACAGAGTGGTTTCTTTTATATCAAGGGGTTTAGGTTGTCATCACTTTATGGCAGTCAATCACAAATCTTCTGATTTTAGATCTGATAAATTCCTAATATCAATGAAACACGCTTAAGATATTCTTTTTATTAATTTGTTTCATTGGACTAAGTGCCACCACATTTTGCTACAAGCAAACTGAAAACATATTTTGAGGGAATCATCTGAATTACTAGTTTCTGAAATAGGCATTGGTTGGCTTTTACTGTTGTTGTGGAAGATCTATTCAGACATGTTTTCTTATAAAGTAGGACATTGCTTTGCCTTTCTTTAGTATAGGAAATCAGTTATTAATTACAATCAGAAACACTGATACATCCTTAATGCTTCTCCACCCACCCCTGCTGGATTTTAATCATAAAATGTGGATTTTATGATGGAACACTAGACAAAGCTCTTGCAGACTAGCAACTCTGGTTACTGTATCTTTCCCACCTGGTGATTTTTATTACCAATTATATCCTGTTGTGGTCATAAGACAGCTGTAAGATTACAGGCAAGATGCTTGCTTTCCCACAAAGGAGTGCACACACAGAATTATGTAAAAATGCAGGTGGGTGAATAGTTTCAAATGGATTTGTGTCTACAGTTACATTCTGCAGTGTCTTCCAGTCTCTGCTTGAAGCACTTGCCCAGCTCTGTACTACTTTTCTATCACTCTGCCTGGCATTACTAAGGAGTGAGCAGATACTGCAACTGTTTCTGCATATGAAAGTTGACTGAAATTAATCAAGAAGGTCAAAGATCAATAGAAAAGGGAGAACCATTTGAGAGGCTTCACTGGTTTTAGGAGGCAAAAAAAAAAAAATTATCATATTCCACATCTGGAAAAACTAATTCCATACATAAAAAAAAAATACTTCTGCTTAACAGTAATTGCATTCCTCTGGCAGTCTGAGAACCACTGTTGCTCCTTGAGCATGCAACTAGTGTGTTGTATGTGGTATATCCCCCCTCCCACTATTCTCCCAATGCTTGTTACTATAGCTGCACTGTACTTCCAACAAGCTTTTTGCAACTATATGAACTTCACTGTTACAGGTATCAAAACTGGTAGTTTAGCCCTAGTTCTATTACTTTCAGGACATGCAGTCACAGCCCTGTAGCAGAATACAGAATTAACTCACATTAAGATTGCAAGGTTGTTTTCAGATGCATTTGTTTCCACCTTGTTGTGAAAGAAAACCACTTTATATTCCAAAGAGATTGATGAAGATAACAACTTGGGTTGGGTGAATTCTCTACCAAATTTCTTCTTGGTTTTGTTACCTGCTTCCATCCATCCCTACCTGAAAATTTAATTGCTGGCTGCAATTACAGATACCATAAACTCAAGATCTGATAATGAATTAAAGTTTGAAGTTGACCTTTTATGATTAAAATCCACATTTTTGAACCACATTAATTTAATACACTTAATTTTCCACCAAAGGTATCATACCACAGAAAAAGATTTGCACAACATCGACCTTCATTTCCCCCCCAAGAGTGTGTTCTTACATAAGTAGAGACATGTTCCTTCAGCTCCAGGTAAGCAACTGAAGAGGATGGTCAGATACACAGAGCGGGAGAGGGTGACATTGGCCAGCTCTGTCTTCATTTAGTCCCACACTGATAGGCCAGTTAGGTTTTGTTGATTCTTTTGCTGTCTCTGGTTTGCTGACAAGACTTGCAGCCAAAAGCAACTAGATTTTACTCTTTGCAGTCAAATTGCTCCACATAGGTTATATTAGGCTCTTTGTTAGGCTTACAGCTGGTGGTCTTATTCCAAGGGTTCAAAGGATATTTTACACATTTTTCTAGCTCTCCACAGAAACCAGAGGAAGGAGAGGGGAGCAAGCACAAGGAAACATTCATGGAGCACAACTTAAGGTATCTACATTGTATAATTAATCAAAGGTGTGTCCTTCAGTTTGATATTCTGAATCACTTTCAAGAGAAATCTGCCTTCACACAGACTACACTTAGCTGTCTCCTACGCTAGACTGCCAATACTGCTCAAGGAACACTACAATTGTATAAGCAATGCCTACTTATACACACTTTTCAGAGGTCTGTGCCCCTAGTCTAGGTAGATATTAAAAGTACAACATAAATGAACACACTGCAGCCAGCTTCATGTCTAGAAAGGTACCACATATCTCACTCAAGTTCTTTCTCTAAGACATCACTTTTGCCCTTAAGCCAACACATGAGAGCAGACCAATAACCTCCTCTGACATAAAAAATGGTCTCCCAGGGCAGCCATAGAGGATCTCAAATAATACAGTGCTTTGGGTTGGAGCTCTCTCCTTTATGCTCTTCATTCAAGTCTGACAAGACCTGCCCCCTGCAGTGTTGGAATTTCTAACACTTTAAATTCTCAGATTTCAGGAGTGTTGAGGGAAAGTTAAAATACCTATGCCTGCTAAAGGAAAGAAGCCAGACCTCAACTTCCTATGATGACTGCTAGAACTCTTGCTCCCTTGGGTATTTTAACCAAGGAAGAGATGTAAGGCATCATGTTAGTAAACTAAATCCTACACCATATCCAAATTATTTTTCAGTACTAAAAATTATATGCTGCTAGAAACAGTCTGAACCTGGAGCTTCCTGATGAGTTCATTCAGCCATAATATTTTGAAAGCACATACTCTCACAGGAGTGAAAATATTTGAAAAAAATATGCGCTCTTGCTCAAAAACCAATCAAGGTGCAACTTTTCTATCAGACTGCACTTTAAGCTGAATAAAACATCACTTAAGACTCCTCATAAGAGTTTATCTGCAGTCAGGAGAATAAGATTCTGAAACAGTCTTCTAATAATGGAATATAAAAAAAAAAAAATCACAGAAAACTTTGCTGTAAAACAGAACCAAATTCACTGATGGACATTGTTGCCTGTGGCAGTAGATTACTCAACTATGACCTCAGTTTTTTTCCCAGTCCTTAAAAAAGACTGTTACTGTAATAGCAGTATCTTAAGAAAACCCAATAGTATGCTATATTAAAAGTATTTCAGTTTTAGATGATGTATATGCAGTCTTATGTAAAAATGGAAGGAGTCACTGCCTCTCAAAAGAGCACAGCACTCATGAGAGAAAACACTTCAGAACGGTGGAAACACCAGCACTAATACACCAGATGGATTAGTAGAGGGATACCTGAGAACTACAAGGGTTCCTGGACATCACAGAGATGCAACAAAAAGAACATCTGTTATACCTGTAACTCATATCTGTACCTATCAGTTTCTTATTTTGGCTTCTAAAGGGTTTTGGGAGGTTTTGTATTACAATGAAGTACTGGCACCACCTCTAACAACATCCACTCCTTATTTGAGAATGCATGAATGGTGTTCAACGAAACAGGACTTCTCTGTGTGTCAGTATTCAATGTCCCTCACTGAAGACAACCTAAATGACTCAAATGCTATTAATAATCTGCAAGATGGAATACAGATATTGTATTCCAATAAAGATATTTTCCACAGTGACTCAAAGGCAATCTGAAACAAAATAAATGAAAATGTTCTAGGAGGAACTACACACAAAGATGGAGTTCCTAAGGAAACTGACAACAAAAAAACCACCCCCAAACCAAACCAACCAACAAAAAAACCCCCAAAAAGCAAAAAGAAACCGCCCCCAAAAAACAAACAAAAGAACCACAAACAAAAAACCCAAAAATCCCCACAAAAAACCCCCACAAAAACCACAAAACACAAGCTAATTCAGAGCTGTCTCTTTTCAGTAACAATTAAATAAATTCAAAGAACAGAGAGAAACCACTCCAATTCTAGCATACAAGGTAGTTCTGAAGAACTCAGTTTGAGGACAGAAAATTTCATGTATGAGTTTTCATCCACAGTGACAGACTTCAGAGCAAGAAGAAACTGTTGCCTTCTGTGCAACAGGTCCAACTCGCAGCCATAAACATCTGTAACAGAATGTAGTGGCAAGAGGGTCTAAAGTCATGAAACAGACTTCAAAAGATAGAAAAACATGCCAGCTAATTGTGACTCAAGCCCACAGCTGGCAGAAAAAATGGACTTCAATGTATTTTGTGACAAACCGCAAGTGATGCTGGTCAAGACCCGCTGAAGTCTGCATAACCAGTGGGTTCTAAACCACCACCAGTTTGAAAAAGACAAAAATGCACCCATCCAATTGCAAATCATCAGCTGCAGGAAGAGGCACAGACAGCTCTGAGACACTACAACAATGCAACAAGCTACGTTAGGGAAAAACTGGCAAAAACTGCATTAGCTTCAGGTTCAAGAGATAATATTACTGTTTTGATTGTATTTCTATATGGATGTGATAAGATACCCAATTACCTCAACATTTAAAAATAGCTGAAGTGCCAGAGTATATATAAGACAGGCTTATATTTAGCTGTGTCATGAATTTACTTGTAATCATCTTAAATGCTGACCCATTCAGTAAATCAGACATCATGTCTGGAACTGCCATGGCTGGGCTTCGCAAACGAAGATTTGGGAAGGGCGCTACCCATGTTTGTTGCAAGCACATTGAACTGTACAAATGCAATAAAACCATCTGAAACTCTCAATAAGAAACAGTAATCAAAATTTTTTTAAACCACTTTATTCAAACCTGAGCACCTCAATATAAAACTAAACACTGGTGAACTGTCATTTTCCTTGCTAAACCCAGATTACTGCAAATTTTAAATCTGCACAAGTAAGTTTCTATCAGTTCAACATTTAAATAGACTAATTCATCTCTTCTGACACACTTTGTAGATTTCATATAATGAAAATAACTAAAAGAATTAGTGCAATATACTGGACTGATCAAAATAAAATGTACTTTGGAAAACAAAGTTGCAAAGTTCATTACTGACAGACAGCAGTACTTATGTTACAGATACAGGAGCATCATTTATTACTGTTCTAGCCATAAAGGAAGAACTCAGAACCCCCTTTGATTAGAGAGGAAAAAAGTTAGCTTTAAGTAACTGTACATTCTGTATACCTTTAAGCAACTCTTAAATATTACAGAAAGTATTAAACAAATGTAGACTACAATGCAGAGTACCTATTTACAGTACATTAATATCCAAATTTAAAATCAAGTTGGATGTACATAATCGTTAGTGCACTATTTTTTTCCTTAGGGGAAAAACAAACTGTAATGGCCAGCAATGATCAGAAACAAGAAAAGTCACAGACACCGAGTTTGTTGTGGTTTTACTTGAAGAGCTCTTACAGTTTGTAGAGGAAAAAAAACCAAACATATCCTAAGTCATAGAATTGAATTTACTGGTCTGTACCCTCTGAAAACATTAGAAATTAAGTTAAACTTGATTCATCACTAATTCATTAAGATAACTAACTGGGTTGATATAATTTACATACAGTGTACCAACTAAAACTCCACTGTCTGGCAAGCAAAGGATTCTTAAAATTGTTAATGCAAGTATTATTTGTAATTAAATTATTAAACTATGGAATGTTTAACTAAATAGTGGATACCTGCAGAAACAACTGGTTGCATCAATACTTCAGAGAAGTTTAAGTAATTTTTAGACCCTGTTTCTAAAAAGGCTTTAAAGCACAATTGAGAATTATGAAAAGACCCAATTCTATTTATTATAACAGTGATCAGTATTGAGGCTACAGGAACTGGCCAATTAGGTCCACAGAGAGCAGTTCTTGTACACTCCTAATAATAACAACTGATTTTTAAAACCTTTCAACTGAAGGAAGTTTATGTCCCTTCCATCTCCTCTACTGCTGAAACATTATAGCCAGTGGTGGATACATGCATGTTAAAATTTTACATCAAAAGAAAACTCTGTATCATGAACTTGACTATTATCATAAGTCTCTTCGCTGTTGGGAAGCTGTACTGGACCAGGTTAAGCACTCCAATTCCATGGTTATTAACAGTTAGGAAGCAGAAGAATATTCAGAACAGTTTAAAGCAATTGATCTTTTAGTTACTACAACATTGACTCTTGGGTGGTTGTGTGGGTTCAGTAAGGTCTACTCCTCTTCCTCTGGCAGAGCTAGCTCCTGCGTTCTGTGGTTCATTCTTGGGCAATTTTTTTGCTGTAAGATGAACAGGATATAAGAGTTAAAGTGAGATTTTACTAAGATTAAATCACCTGAGTACACAAAGTCAACACATTATTACTCAATAAGCATATCAGTATACTCACCATATAATTGGATTTGATTCACTGCATTGGTAATGAAAGAAGTTAAGACACTTAACTTCTCAATGATTAACTCCCTTATCTATGATTTCCAAGCATCAAATGCATTAGTAACTTGAGCAGTAAAATATATCTGCACAGGTGTGCCATGCCAGCAAATGACAGCTCTTGTGGGAATCCACCCACATGGAACAGGCTTTAAGATCAGGATGTTAGTGAGAAAAGATACAGAAACACTGAAAAGCCACCAAACACAGACAGAAATGGGTCAAACCAGTTCCCAGATATCTAGCCAGAGTAAGGATTTGCATACAACATATAAAATGGCGCCAGCACCAGATCAAGCCTCTCTTATTTTTTTCAAGCTGTCTCTTCTCNCCTATGAATCAATTGACTGATAATTTCTTTGTTGCCTTTGCAGCTCCAAGGTACCCTCTCAGTCCTGACACGAAAAATAAGGGTGACAACTGTTACCTTTCTGAGCAGTAGCTTCTCCTAGATTTCTTCCGTCAGAAAACTGCTTATTTTAACTATAGAAGTCCATAAAAGGATTTCCATGGGCCTGTCTTGCACATGAACTGGGACCCAGCAACCACTCCTGTTCTACAGTTTGGTTGCATGTGCTTTCACTCCAAAGTAATTGGAGTGAAAGTTTGGTCAGCCTTTTAAAGAACAGCTTTTTCTGAAAGGAACAAAATGAAGCCAGAAAAAAAGAGCAGAGCAAACATCAACAGTGTGCTGAGGTGCTAGATAATCTCAGGGTGCTAAGTAATGTAGACTCCCTTTCCCACAAAAGGGTGGACTAGAGGGATCTTCTGAGGTCCCTTCCGACTTGGGCTGTTCTACAATTCTGTGATAAAACCCAAGAATTCACATGGTACTAAGCTGCTGAGACAGCACAGAAGGACAAACCACCAGTAGAAAAATGCCTTCAGAGCACTATCATTTTTAATTCTCTAACTGTATCCAGAACTCAATTAACATTTTTTTTAACTGAAAGTTTTGAACAAACTCTAAAGCAATCAATTTACAAGCATCTGTAACTTGCATCCCACAGTTCCGTCAGCGTTCTCATTTATCCGTTTTCTCCCAGTTTTGAAGATTGTATTTACACATGGTCCTGAGAACTGCACCATGTTGTGCAGGCTATTCCAAATTCCATGCAATACTCATAGCCTCCAAGATTTCCTTCCAGAGACCACTGTCGCATAGATCTTGTTCTGATGCACTGACAAAGCTAAATTTCACCCCACTGATGCAAAAGAATACTCACATGGCCAACCAACACTGCAGACAAAATACCCAGTTATTAGTTAGCCATTGTTTTCCTCAAATTCACTTTGTATACTTCACTAAAATATGGAGAGGTAAGAATTATTTTTGATATAGCAAATTAAAAAAAAAAACCCAAACAATTTGGGGTTGAATCACCAATTTGGTGATTCATTTTTTTTTTTTTAAACAGGATGCAAACTGCATCATTAAACACATTAATTCTGAAATTTCACCAGAATGGTGCAATTGAGCATTTCTGTATCATTAAATGCAGGCCTATCTTGAACAATTACGAGAAGAATATACTTTCCTCTCATACAGTTATGTGTTTGTGTCCGTCCCCCCTCCCCAAGTATTTATAGTTAATATGAAGGAAGTGCTTGTTATAAAGTGTTGCTATAGTGATAATTTAATTCGCATCTACTGGAAGTTTGAAGCACACCACAAATTATCTTCTGCTTTCCTGACTTGAAAAGCAGAGGGTAAGAGCTCTTTAGAAACATTTAATTTTAACAGCAATGATTTTTTTCCACAAAAAGCGGGTTGGAGAGGTCACCGTGGTGCAACATACAAAACAGTTTAATGAGATTATTTGATGCTATAAATTACTATTACTGAGCAGCAGAGCTCCTACTGTGATTAAGGTTATTATTTAACAGGTTAGTGACCGACCTAAAATGTATTCTTTTTCCTCCCCTTTCAAAAGTTCATCAACAATTAAATACAATTTTGGTTATATCAATGGAATACACAAAATTTCTTAATAATTTATACTTACTATGACACGTTGGCAACTTTACAGAAATCCTTAAGATTATGTTAGGTCTAAAAATTATTAGTAAATTTACTTTTCATATGCAGTATCCTTTACATATTACTTGGACAGTGAATTCAAGCACACATCGCCATCTTTGGCACAACTTTTTGATTTCAGACAGCTACCTAAACAAAATTAAACAAATAAAAGGTCCTAAAGAAACTTCAGTGCCAGAAATAATTCAGGTTACAAACGAAGACCTTGGGTTAGGAAGATTGCAATGGTCTGCATCTCATGAAAAAAATTCTTTTTAAGTTCTTAGTTTGTTCTTAAACTCACCAATTGCCATGAATATTTCATTTACGTTCATAGATGTTTTGGCAGACGTCTCCATGAACAATAAGCTGTTGTCATCTGCATAAGCCTGTGCTTCCTGCAAGTTAAAGTAAAAAAAATTACTTCATTAAAAAAAAAATTAAAAATCACATAATTACTACACATTGTACTTTTATTGCTACTAAGGAACAATTTCTATACCATTTTGAAAGAAAGACAGTTTGTTGAAACACCCATGTGACAATATGTTATTCATTAGCTACAGAGAAGTTATAATTCCATCAAGCAGCTAAACAATTAGAAATGCAATCTTAAAAATTCTTACTAATCTTAAAAATATCCATATAGAAACATATCAGGCAAAACTAAATAATAAATGAAAATATTTATGAAAGGGACAACCCCAATCCAAAACACTAGCCATGATAGCAAGAACAAATGAGCTCCAGAAAGCGCCATCAAATGTCAGCAAGTCTGTTATTACCCTGGAAAGAAGGCAGTTTGCAACTATCTCGAATCTTTCAAGCACTGGAACAGATGGATCAGAACAATTTCATTATCCTGATAGAAATTCACAATTATAACAAATAAGCAGTATGAAGTATTTTGCCATGTTATCTCCCCTTTCAGTATGAATTTTCATCTGATACACTGCTCATAAGAACTTTACTATTTTTGCCACTTCCTACTACTCAATTCAGCTGAGAATCCCTGTCTTCTTATGATTATGTAACTGCCTTTGCATTCAATAAGAAATCTACAAAGAAGCCAAACTACAAGAGACCTATGATGGAAAGAATAACCTACAGCATTCTATAATTAAGTGACATCTGCTAAGATGTAACTATACCTGAAATAACACATTAACAAATACTTAGAAATCTAATATGTGATTTGCAATGAGAAAGGACTGTCAAGCCT